TTATATATATATATATATATATATATGTATGTATATATATATAGGCGCTACGTCTGTTCCTATCTAGTTAGGTGGCTCGCTTGTTAGCTGGTTTGTCCGTTAAGTATTTAGCTAAGGTTTGTTCTTGTGCTTCTTTCTTTGGATGGCTTGATTTGGTTCCTTTTGCGTGAGTGACTGTGAAGGAAAAAGGGACTCCGGGGTTTACAGCAACGGCCATCGAGGGCAAGTGCGCCCTGAGAGGGATCGAAAACGCAGACATCATCTTCAGCAACTGCTTCATCCCGGCAGCCAACAAAATGCGACCAGGAGGATTTTCAAACAACACCAAACGCGTGCTTGAATCCTCCAGGGCACTCGTTGCAGCTGCGTGCACAGGCCTCGTGATCGGTGCGGCAAATAGACCCACTACCAACTGGATATCCAGAAAGCAGATGTCTGCCTAATCAGCTGGTTCGGTGTCTAGCTACCAAATGAGAAAAACCGCTATTCTTCGCTAGGTTCCTTCTCCGAAACTCGTTTGCTCGCCAAGCTAGCTAGCCAGTTTGGTTGCCAGCTAACTGGACCCTGGATGGCTAGCGCGCTAGCTGTAGAGACAGCTTTGCAGACTGAACTGCATGCGCTAATATATGCAGGGGCGTACGACGCTGCATTGCAGTACAGCAGCATGCGAATTCAATTTGGCCGGCCTTTAGCTCACTTCCAGCTCATTCAAGAACGACTGATGAGGGCCCTAGGATTCGCCAGCGTAGGGAGTAGTAGCTGCCTCCAATCTTGCTACAGCGTATTCGCTGTCCAACATTGTTCTTGTCTGTGTTTCGAGTGTTGCTTCCCTTGGTACAGCGCGTGTGGCAGACCAGTGGTCTGACCAGTGGTCCAGACGACGACCTGCCTGCTGGACTTAGCCGCGCTAGCAAAAAGTAGTGACCGCTTGTTAGTGAATCTAGTGGCTGTTTAACTGGTCGATACGGTTGAAACAATCGCACGTTGGTGCTACTGTTTCTGCTGTTGTTTTCCTTCGCCTAGGAGTGTGTTCTCGCTAGACATTTGTTTTTCGCTTGCTTTTTTCTTGTTTCCACATTGTATTCTTGTGATTGTGTACGTGTATGCAGGGGTGCTTGGCGCTGTCTGTACAGCTGGGCCGGAGGCTAGACAAGGGCTCTTCTTCTCCGGCTCTACCTGCCCTGGTGAAGGCGACAGCCTCCCTATGGGCACGAGAAGGCACCAAACTATGCAGAGAAATTATGGGTGGAAATGGCATTTTGCTTGACTTCTCTGTCGCTAAGGCCTTTGCAGATGTGGAGGTGAGAAGCAGGCTTCAGCAGGCGCTGCAGCACCACTGCTGCTGCTGCTACTCACACTGCTACTACTGCACAACGGCTGCTGCTTAAGGTGCTGCTTTTCAAACAGTTGTTGCTCGAACTGCTGCGGCTAGTGCTATTACTCCTCCTGCCGTTGCTGTTACCGCTTCTGCTGGTGAGAATGCTGCTGCAATAGCACAGACGCAATGCGTGCTGTGTGGTGCTATTACTCACTCCCCTTACCACCAGCCGCAGCTCTTCTGTATGCATTATTGCACAAGCTGTTACTGGCACTACCCCCTGAGCAGTTAGCGGTGGCATCCTCTACTCTGCAGCTGCTGCTGTTGATGCTGCTGTTGGTAGGCGCTGTATACTTACGAAGGAACCTACGACATCAATATGCTGATTGCTGGACGTGAAGCCACGGGCTTCAGTGCCTTTAAATAAACTTGTGTCTTTCATCTCGTTGCAAAATAAAGCCGCAGTCTCTGAGTTGCATAGGCAGCTCTGATCTACATACAAACCAGCTGTCTGCTTGCCAGTCAAATAACTCGTGGATTGCATTCCTTTTTCCTGTTTGTCATCGACTGGGTGGATCTCCCGCTGCCCGTCTTTTTAACTTCCCTGTAACTGGGCTTGTGCTCATTTCTGTTTCCTCTGTAGCTCGCAGCCGCAGCAGCGACAGGAGGAAATGCAAATAAGCCAAGCTTCTAAATGACTTGCTTTACACCTCTTGTGCAAAACAGTGGAAGACGAAGCTACACATCGGCATCAGGAACACAGCAGCAGCATCAAGGCAAGCTGTAGCAGCAGAGCGGGAATTACCACAGCAGGGCAGAGTCTTCCATATATACTAGTGACACCAGCCGCAGAAGGAGTGGTTGTAAGAGCAGCAGCAACAACGGCAACAGCAACAGCAGAGCGCAAGTGATGCAATGCCTCCATATCCGTAGCTGCACACAATTCGTTTTCCCATTAGGGGCGTTTCCTGTTTTGTGCCCCCCCTGCATTCGTGGGGGAAAAGTCCTCCCAAAATTCTCCAGGCGTCATATTTGGTATAATAAATGAATCCTTTACGGATACAGAGGGCCTGAGCTAATTCGCTGCATTTCAGGGAAAAGCGGCTCGAAACCGACTGCAGTGCAAACGGCAACGGATGAGAAACTGAAAATAGTAATCCAAATTATTATTACCGCAACTGTTAGGAAAAAACGAATGCACAATTGCAGTAACAAAGGCAGAGAGGGGAAATCAATATATGGAGTTGCGTTCCCCTGATTTACTTGTCGACTTGTTGCATGCACATGGGCTTCGAAGTACAGATGCTTGCGACTACCTTGAAGGTGATGCACAGCTCGAAATATTCGAGTTTCGGCGAAAAAAAACGTTGCAACAGCGAATTGAACATCATCGAAATCGTGATAAATACCACTGTTTCAAGTGGCCTTTTCTAATGTCGGGGGAGTGGTGAAGGGGTGGAAGCTCAGTTTCTGTGACTACGGAAAGGCCATGTGGCGGCACTTAATCGCTTTAAATAAAATCTAAGTTATTTTTCAATATCAGTTGGGTTCCAGTAATAGAGGGGCTTGTAGTTTGCAATGAAGAGGAAAAAACACCGGTTTGAGTACGCTAGCATTTTTCCGCGTGTACAAACAACTCACCTGGGAGGGTGTGACGGAATACGGGTGAAACTTACGGCCAAATCTGATTATTACCGGGTAACTTGTTTTTAAATACCTTTAAAAATATTTTTTACAAAGTTTATTTCCATTGCGCCCAATTTATTGCATGCAACCACCCCGCTTGAAGCCACGGTTTGCCACGACGCCGAGGCCTCCTCTCGACGGAGCCTTACGCTGAGGCGATCCTCATCGCCATCATCGTTACAGCTGCCACGTCATTTTCCATCTTCCTGCCTCTTTCTTCTTTTCCCTTTGGTTTTACAATTCAAAGATCCAAGAATAGCTTGAAAACGCGCATCTCTTCATCATGCCAGGCCCTGATGTGTACTTGAACATCTACAAAATCGATGGATCCCCGGAGTGCTGCGCCCCGTGCGGTCTTTACCACACCAGTACGTGAGCGGCTTCTTCGCCTTTTCCCATTTTGCCAGTTCCCGTTGCATTGCTGGAGCCCCTTTGTTGCAGCTCCTGTTGCCTCGACAAAACGCGTGTGCAGCCAACACGCGGTGGTAAGCGTGCTGCTCAAGTCTTGCATAGCTGTCAGTCCCCCCCCCTGACAACGGAAGCCTGAGAAACACAAGGTATTTAAATTGCCATTGTCGGCAGGAGGGGGTTCGTTTTTGTGTTTTTCGTCATCTTGAGGTGCTGTTGTCGGCAGAGGTGCAGCAGCCGCTGATGCCAACCTAAGAAAATTGATGTATGTGGCTGTGTGTGTCATGTTTCGGATATACATCAGTCAATTTAGTGTTCCGTTTTCTTGTGTGGATTTTCAGGCGTGCAGATAGGGGAATTGGAGTACAGCTTCGGAGAAAGCACAGGGGTGGTGTGTTCCGAACACAACCCACGAGTGGATGGCATCCACAGCTTTGCGGACGGTACATATCAGTACAGCCTGCATATGGGCTCCTGTAACTTGACGGTTTCCGAGCTGTATAATGTTATAATAAACTTTCGCAAGGCCTTCACGGGTTCTTCTTATAACCTCCTCAATAAGAACTGCAACCACTTCAGCGACGCCCTCCTTAAAGCCGTCGTGGGCAAAGGAATCCCCCCACACATAAACCGAGCCAGCAGATACGGCAAATGGCTGAGGTGAGCTCGTATAGCACATGTAGCTAATTCGCTGCTGCAGCTCAAGTTTAATTAACTGGAAGGGCGTCAGTTTAGCAGACAAACCCACTCAGACCCCTCCACAAAAAGGGTTTAGCTGTAGGGAGCAAACAAAAACATAGCTTGGCAAACAGAACACGCGATTGCACCCTGTCTTACTATCCACCGCAACGTGATCCATCCAGTGCTGTCGATGCTGCTGTTGTAGCTGCGCATGTTGTTACTTCTGAGCCTCACTTCTGTTACGCCTTACGTCGGTTGTTGCGTATGAGTCATGGTTTTATATTCGTTGCTTCCGAGGATTTTGCTTTATCTCCTTTATCTATGCTGGGTGTGTGCTGCAGCTGTCTGTTGCCTGCGAGCTGCGTATACAACTCTGAAGAAGCCGCTAGAGAAGCAGCAGAGAGCTCCTCTGGTGCTAGTTTTTCGCAAATCTTCAGTGGCACAGGCAACCGTCTGGGGAGCCTTCAAGGAGGCAGTGCTGTGCAGGCACTGAAACGGTTTATTACAATGGGCGATTGCCTTAACCAAGAAAACAATGTAGCGGATGCACACGAAGAAACAGCTGTATATAGTAAGCCCAAGTAACACAACAAAATCAACCGGCACTCTGCATTGTGCCGGGTTCGTTACGGCAGCCTATTCTATATAGTACTCTATACATTCGTAAACAGGCATCTGAATATATATGTACTGTGCATAACTTTCGACATATATTTATTTGTAAAAGTGTAAATATGCATAGACACCCTGTGCTTGAGCTTACAGGCCTACGTGGATAGTGGGGTGGTTGAGTTTGTTTTTGCTGCTCCACTTTCCTTCAACCTATATATTCATGCATATCAGTGTTTTATTCTTTTCCTTTCATTGTCCTGCCTGTCTGCTACCAGGCCGCAGCAACACGCGGCAGCTGCTTGCAGAGGCAGCCCAAGATCGTATGCGGCGTCAGGCATCGTTTAAAGCTTCTTCTCCTGCTTGAAGGTTTAGGGTTTACTGTTTACGGTCTGCATGAGGAAGAAGCAGAGCAGCGTTGTTTACGGCCTTTTTCCCTGCTCCCCTGTGTGAGCGGTGCTGAAAAAGGCGATTCAGATAATTATGCATTAATTAGTGCACTTATTCAAATTCGTTTGCTCTTTTCAGCTGCGGCGCAACAATGCAAGAAACAACTCAGCTTACGGAAAAGCAAAACTGAAACAGAGCATCTCGGCACAAAACAAAGGCGCTCAATATGTAAACAATAATAAAACTATAAAGGCAACAACAGCTTGCTTGAACATATGTTATTCCAGTTGGAGTAATCATCGCCCAATAACACCGCCTCCCTTCAAGGTAGAGGCGGTAAAATCTCCAGCTTTTCTTGTTTTCTGTTTGTTTGTCTGCCTGTTAGTTGTTTCAATAACAACTCCAACTTCTCCTTTAAAATACCCCTTTTCCTGAAGCAATCTAAGGCTGCTGTGAGTTTAATTATATATATATATATATATATAT